AAAACAAAAAAAAAAAAAAAAAAGCCACTTACCAGGGTCAGGGTCCGTCTGGGGAACGCGAGCCCTACAGAGCAGTCCACAGGGTGGCCATCCCCGCTGCCTCTGGCCACGACCCCCTCTCCAGCGGCGGGTGCTCACCGCATCCCGCACCCCGCAGGCAGGTCCCCGCCGGGGGATGGAGCGGCGAGGCTGGTACCCGGGGAGCCAGAGCCCTGCGCTTGCTGCCGGAGGATGCAGGAGACAGCGAGATGCTGGGAGCGGATGCCTGTGTCTAGCGCGGGCACACACACACACACTCACACACACACTCGCACACACACGGAGGATGCAGGGAGCTTGTGACTGGGGCTGAGCAGATGCAGCCTGGTTTGCTGTCCCTGTACCAATTGCTGCCTGAGCTGTGTTAAACAGCTCTCTGAGACACCAAGCATCTTTTTTTTTTTTTTTTTTTTTTTTTTTTTTTAAAAAGCGGGCTGACGTGTGCTGGGAGATACCAATAAAAGCTTTCCCTGCGTCTCCTCTGGCCCCCGGGGGCTGAACCGCCTTTCTTCAAGACAACCTCAAGGACTACGGGAGATGGGGCTGCATCTGCAGTGGAAGGGAGGTCTCCCCCTGCCCAACGAGCCCGGGTATTCCCCAGACCGGGTGCCCCAGCCACAGGCTACCTGCGACTGCTTTAACCCATTGCCTGCTGGCCAGCATTGCAGGCAGGGTGTCCTCCCCACCCTGTGATGCAGCGGAGGGGCTACGTGCAGCCCTGTGTGTCCCGGTGCAATGCAGCACCAGGGGTTTGGGTTTTCCTGGTGCCCAGGACTGGATATCACCTGGGTGCACGCCACGGAGCTGCCACAGTGGGGCTGGGGGCTCACAGAGGGTGTGAGGGAGTTGGTGGGGCAGGATGGAGGATGCTGGGCTGGAGAAGAGGGGACAGCCCTAGAGCAGCGCTTCTGAAGGTGGGATATCTGCTTCATGTGCATCCTGAGCTGCCTCTCACCAGCCTGGTAGAGATGGCCACCAGCCCTCCGCCACCCTCCTGGGATGGGGGACCACTGGCTGAGGGGGTTGTGCTTCCCCCTTCAAGATCTCCCAGCTGTATCCAGGGATGATTTAGGGCACAAAAACCTCTGAGCCCTCCTTGGAACAGCTTCCAGCCAGGCTTGAGATTAGTGCTGAAGGTTAGAGTAGGGAACCCTGAGCAGGAGGGGTGGTTGCAGGGCTGCCCTGCTCCTTAGACAAGTGAGGTACAGCATGTCTTCTCCTGGCTAGGGGAGAGGAATGTTCTGCCCAGCTCCCTGTGCTGTTCCTGACCCTGAGATGCTCCTGGGGGGATGTCTTGCATCCCAGCATGACATCCTGGCCATGCCAGCCCCTATGCCCTCCGTGGGCCAGTGCTTGGCTGGCTCCATGCAGACCCACCACCCCACAGAGGAGAGGAGGTGTGTGCATGCATGCACGGATGTGTGTGTTCACAGAGGTGCTCAGGAGGCCTTGGTAGAGCAGCGAGTGGCAGGAGAGAGGGATGCCACCTTCCCCATGCAGAGAGAATGGGGAGCACAGGGTGGGAGCCATGGGGAGAAGGACCATTTGACAACTGAATCTTGCTGGCTCCCAGGCGAGGACCAGCACCATCCCTGAGGTGCTGGACCCAGTCTCCAGTGCCCATGCAGTGCCCTGCTTCACCAGGAGCAAGCAGCTGGGGCAGGGCAGCCTTGAGGATGCTCCCAACACTGTATTCAGGGCAGATTTGCTCCAGCCTGTGCCAGACACTGGTGCCAGGCTGGTCCCCGACACCTGCCTGTGGGACCTCACCCCATGCCAGCCTTCCCTAGAACTGTGGGCACTGGCACTGGTCCCACAATACCAATGCCTTCGTTACAGACCCTTCCCACTCCTGTATGTCTCAACCAGGAGTGAACTGAGACTGTCTGCAGCTCATGTCACCTGCAAGTACAGCCAGGGACTGGCAAAGGCAGCATCTGGGTGTTGCGTGGGGACCTGACTTGGTCCACAGCTCCCTTCCCCACTGGCTGGAGACGTGCAAAGCCATGCTGCAGGCAGGATTTATCTGCTTTCTGCTGGTGGCTGTCAGGTCCCGTCTTCCTTCGTTCCATCAGCTGCAGGAGCCTTGCAGGCAGCCCCTGGTCACCCTGCCCTCGCCCAGGGTGCCTCTCTGTGCTTCATCCTTCCCCAGGGATGTTTCCTTTTAGGGTGAATCACATTTTGTGTTTTTTGGCCCGGGGAGCACGCTGGAAAGGTGCTGGGATGCATGTGAGGTGGAGAAAGTGGTGGCCAGCTGTAAACGAGGGCAGAGGAAAACATCTCTGCAGCAAACCCTGGCCCCAGAGGGCTGGAGAGAGGGGGAAGGTGGTGGAGGAAGAGTGTGCCAGCAGGCTGAGAAAGCTCTGAGTGCCTGCCCTGGAGGGCCCGTGGCTGAGTGCGGAGGTTCCTGGGAAAGCAAAGATGAGGAGGATCCCCAATCTTGCTCCTAGTCAAGCTGCCGAGGGGTTTAGGGGGGGTGCTGCTGCCATCTGCCCTGGTGCTCTGCAGTCCCTTCTGAATCACGGCCAGGTTGTACCCCTACAGCAAGGCTCCATGGGTGGGGATGGCTGAGCCTGGGTGGTTGGCAGCTCCTTGCCATCCCTGGGGTGGCCCAGCCGGTGGGTGCGATGTCCCTCCAAAAGAGAGCTGCAGCCCAGATCCGCTCCTGCAAGAGGCAACCAGCAGCCCCCCACTCCGTCCAGAGTGCAGGATGCTCTTGCACCCCCCCATCCCCGCCCCGGGAGGGAAGGAAGATGTGTTCCCCTGCCCTGCCACCCCTCTCTGAAGAAGCCACAGCATGGCTGGGGCGCCCCTTGGAGCTGCTGCGACGGCAACAGGCTGGGAAAGCTCTTGGCGGAGCCGGCAGCACCGGGCTGCTGGAGGAGGGCTGCAGGGGCGGAGGTGAGAGCTGAGCTGCAGCAGGAATGTGCATTTTCGTCAGCTCTAACCTC